CTGAATGTTAGAAAACTATGAACAAGGAAAATCTTTTCACTCATCAAGTGGAGAAGTGAGATCCTTCCTTTAGGTTTTGGCAAAGAGGAAAATTGCTGTCATCTGCTGAATCCAGCACAGACCCAGGGAACACCCAAAGTATATAAAGTTCCTTTCTAGGGATACAATAATGTGTACTAGATGGTGATTAAACAGAAAGAATAACAAATTTGTCAAAGCAGAATCCACCCGACAGGAAGCCAAAGGTACAGACAGTGATATGCTGACAAATTCTTCATAATTAGCTTTCCAGAGAGATGCAGGTGGGAGTGGAGAAGCCCTGACAAGCAGCATTTGCCAGTTCCATGGGGTAAATCCTCCCACCATGTTGGTTTCCAGTTACCAACGCGACACCAGTGAATGCAGAGTTGAGAGGAGACACACATAATCGGCTTTCACCCTAGTGTCCCAGGAACCCAAGCAAGACCAGAAAGATTGGGGTTCCATTTGTCTGGACTTCTGATCACTCAGGAGAAAGACGGAGCCACCTAGGATGGTGGCTGGAAATCAAATGCACTGCTGCTCTTGACATCGGCCTCACGTTTAGGAAAGTTTATCATCCGCTCCCTTTGAGATGTGAATTTTTCCTGGGAGCCAAGGACGTCCATCTTGTTCCCATGCAGAAATTTCTTCAATTTATTCAATTTCTACAATAAGTAAAACTCTTAAGAATGAAAGTGAGGAAATGTATACTCATTTACCCCACAGGCCAACTTTCTGATGTCATATCCGTTCCTCAAGCCATATTTTGTTAGGAAGTGAGAAATGCAGAAAATTGAAGATAGCACTTGTTGAGAGAAGGCACAGATAAAGAAAATTAACGAAGGGGAATTGACCTCTATCCAGTATTTACTCCTTGGTAGGCAAGAGGTTCAGGGCTCTCTATACTTAGAGTGAATAAAATTCATGTTTATTTTCACTAGTCTTTAACTAATATTCAGCATTGTCTTCCTTTATGAATGTAAGCTCAAATCCATGGTGGGATTTTGTCAACAACAGAAATCACAGATATTTTCATGTGCAATGTTACAGTTTGGCAGATAAATCAAATATCATTTATGTGTTTCACAACTTCAAAATTAGAGTTGTTATCAAACTCTCTGCTTGATCTTTTAATTTTTTTAATACACAAACAAAGAAACATCTATTACATTCTAACACAATTTTTTGACAAACACATTTTGATAACTGTATTATAATGTTTCCTTTGTAATTCTACATTTATTTTTTTATGAGCTTAAAGTAATTGTCCTAAGGAATCCATCAGCTTTACAAGACTGCCAAGAGGATTGATGGAAAATAAAAGATCAAACTCCTGTCAGAAGGTATTTTAAATGTTATTCCATCTAACCCTCAAAAACAGTGCTATGATGGGTTTTCTTGTTCTTCTTTCACTGATGCTGACACTAAGTATAGAAGAACTTAAGTGGTGACCTCAGCTTATTCCGCCATTAAACAGCAGAACCAGTAACTGAACCCCCAAGTGGCCTGGTGTGCAACTGCTCTTTCAGGATCCTTCTCCCTGCTGCTTGCCTCCTGGTAGGTGAAGGGAGGGTATGCCTAATGATCTTCATCAGGCCTTAAGTCTCCGAAGGAGTCTCTAAGGGCCCTAGAAAGTAGGTCATCAGGACATTATGGAACGGCTTCAGGAAAAAGCCCCTCCACACTGCCATCATCCCCCTTGGAACGACTCAGCTAAATTAAGCCAGTGCAGTGACCTTGTGCTCCAGTGTGAGCTCCAGGTGTGCACTCCAGGTGCATGCTCCAGGGGGCCGCCAATTACATACAGAGGTCTGGCGAGTGTGTGCATCTTCAGATAGAAAGACCACATGCATTTGACTGCACACCCCAGCTCAGTATCAGGGAGAAAAAAATACCATGAGAAGAGTTTCCAAAGGAAAGGATGGGAGACGGAATGATTTTTTTCTGAGCCAGTAGCTCTGTCCAGAAGAATGACTTTACTTCTGTTCAACAACCATCTATCAGGTACTTTAAGCCAAAACCGTGAGAGATGCTGAGATTTAAAAATAAACCAGTTGCAGTTTCTACCCACAAGAACTCACAGTCTAGGGACATTTACTAGGTCCTGCTAGCTCCTTCCATGGTCTTCAGATGTTAATTCAAAAATTGTAGAGGAAGTTGAAGATGAAAACAACCTCAGGACAATGAAATAAGGGTTGCAGTGCAGGGAAGTGCGATGAGGATGGTGAAGAGGAATTGTACTGGCTGCTTAGGGGGTGACAGTTTTCACTGAGGGACTGAAAAGATGACTGGGAGTATTCTCTGAGAGAGTGGCTGGTGATATAAAGAAGAGGCAGAAGGAAGACTATGGGCTAAAGTCCACACAACTCACTTTCAGCAACAGTGCGTGGTTCAGATCCCCCAAATGCAGAGCTGAGGGGAGGACTTGGGTACAGGTGACCTATGTGAGAAGGTGTAATATTGAGGGGATAGGGAAAGTAGGCAGATAAGAAAGAAGAGCAAACACAGAGCACATTTCTGAGTTGCTAACCACTGTGGGCAAGAAGGGCTCAATCTTCAGGGGGCCTGCTAAAAAGACACGCAAGAACTCACCTCCGAACTATTCCACTGGAGGAATGGGAGGCTTGAGTGGCAGGATGAGGTTGATCCCAGGAAAGTTGACTTCGTCACACTTCAAGTCCTACCTGTAGGCAACTGAGCAATCTTTGGAGCCTTTGGGGAAAATAGAAAGCTATCCTTACCCTGTGCACGTCGTGTCATTCTGTCTAACATGTGGAGCTGTCCACCCAACTGTGCTGAATCAGATGGGCTGAGAGGACGTGGGACATCACAAACATCTGCTACTAACAGCCTGGGGCTCCCCCTCCCTGGACCAGCGAGAAGGAAAGGAGTGAGGATGGAGGTTGGGGATCACACAGGAGCCAAATTCTTGTCAATCCCTCACTAACATTTGGACTGCCAGGAGTTTATAAAACAAAACCCTTTCAAGAAGCTGCTTCCCGAGAATTGCAACATAAAGCAGACATTGCCAGTATTTAAAAGGCTGAACGAAAGCCCCTCAACAAAGTATCTTCCCCTCAGTAAGCCTAAACTTTTTATTTCAGCCCTTCCAGAAATCTTGTCAGTTAAATATTTATTTCACTATATTCCTTTTTGAATATCAAGCAAATTATCACAACGTCATGTGGTTTCAAGATGCAAGTGCAACAGATTTGGAGAATTGACCTAATGAAAGGAATAAAAAATAATCATCCCATAATCAACAAGTAGAACATTCTGTTGCCCCTAAAATGTTTCCTCTATTTTCTTTGAAAATAATCCCTCCACCCCAAGCACAGGCAGCACGAATACACCTTTTATAGCTGTATGTTAGTTTTGCCTGCTCTAGCATGTCATGTGCAGGAAATCACACAGGAGGTAGGCACTCCTTTGGGGCTAGCTTCTTTCATTCGTTATAATGTGTAAAATTTATCCATGCTGTTCTATGTTTCAGTAATGTGTTCCTTCTTAATGCTAAGTACCATGCCCTGAATTAATACACCAGAAATATTTATCCATGTAGCTACTGAGATAGCCGTTTGGGTTGTTCCAGTTGGGGGCTACTATTAATCAAGCTGCTATGAATGTTCACCCATAAGTCTTTTTGTGGACATATGTTTTAATTTCATTTGAGTAAATATCAACAGCTAAGGGTTGCATTGCTTAGTTATAAGATAGGTGAATGTTTCCCTTTACAAGGAACAGCTAAAACTTTTCCAAAGTTATTTTACCAGTTTTAGACTCCCACCAGCAATATATGAGGTTTAACGCTTGGTATTGCAAGTTTTTTTTAATTCTAGCCATTCTAGTGCCTATGAGCTATAGAGTCTCCTTGTGGTTTTAATTTGCATATCTTGAGCCACTTCTGGTGCTGAGCAGTTTTTTTGTGTGCCCATTAGTTATTTATGTATCTTTTTGACATGTCTACTTTGTGCCTTTTGTCCACTTTATTGGGTTATTTCTCCCTTATCGATTTGTGCCTTAAAAAATGGAACTACCTAAATGACACAAAGTAGAGATTTTATACATACAGCAAACATTTTAAATCTTACATGGTTCATAATTCTGCTTGGAGTTGAGGTTTTTCAGATAGCTAAATGCTCTTTTTTAATAAGTGGATAATGGACCATATTGTCTTATTAATATTACATAATGTTAAAACAAAAACTTCAGGCAAATTATATTTAACACAGTTTAATTGAGCTAAGAATGGTTTGCCAATTAGGCAGTCCTTGACCCAGAATAGGTTTAAAGAAACTCCACTGCTGCCACATGGTCAGAGAGAATTTATGAGCAGAAAAATGAAAATGATCTTCAGAAAACAGAAGTGAGGCACAGAAACAGCTGGACTGATTACAGCTCCGTGTTTGTCTTATTTGAACATGTTTTGAACAGTTGGCCACCTTTGATTAGCCGAAACTCAGTAAGCAGTACAAGAATAGGTTACCGTTTGTTTACCCATTCAGTTAGGTTACAGTTCACGATATACAGAGAAACCTTGATGCTAAACTTAAAATATGTAAGGAGGCAGCTTTAGGATACACCTAATGTGTCAATGATTTGCCTTTGTTAGCTGTTATTTTCCTCATCACTCAAGCAAATGTCAACATTTTGAGTTCCAGGTTGTTCTTCTATGATTTGATAAATTTTCTCAAAAAGTCAGATTCTTCAGTTTATATGCTGTGATATATGGAACACACACACAAATATATATACACATACAAATAATCACTTTGAAATATCTCATGCGGCGAGCCTCCTCCCGGCTCTCCTTGAGCCAGCTGTCTGCACAACAGTTCCTGCCGCTCTTCCCACCAGGCCCCTCAGCTCTGCAGTGCACCAGCTAGCAGCATGTCACGGCGGTGGCAGGGCCATGAGAACGGTGCTACAGGGAAAGAATTTGCCTCTTAACCACACTCAGGAGGTCACTAATAAACAAGTGGACAGCCTCATGAAAGGAGAAAGACCTCTGATGCAAATGAAACTGAAGATTACTTAGAATCTTTCATATGCAAAGTGGGGGAAAAGAGTGCCTGTTCTTTGGAGAGAAACCTACAGGGCTTAGCCGGGGTTTTAGAAGCTGAACTTCCTAACTATAAGAGCAACATCTTGAGGCTTCTTTGTACAGTTGCACGTCTGTTACCTGAGAAGTTGACAATTTATACGACATTAGTTGGACTCCTCAATGCCAGAAATTACAACTTTGGTGGAGAATTTGTAGAAGCTATGATTCATCAACTTAAAGAATCGCTGAAAGCAAACAATTATAATGAAGCTGTATATTTGGTCTGGTTTTTATCTGATCTTGTGAATTGTCATGTGATTACTGCCCCATCAATGGCAGCTATGTTTGAAAATTTGGTGAGCGTAACCCAGGAAGATGTGTCTCAGGTGCAACGAGACTGGCATGTGTATGCATTTCTGTCATCTTTGCCCTCGATTGGAAAGGGCTTATATGGAAAGAAAGACGCAGAGATGGACCGCATCTCTGCCAACACTGAAAGCTATCTTAAAAGATGCCAAAAGACTCATGTGCCTGTGTTACAAGTATGGACTGCGGATAAACCACATCCACAAGAAGAGTATTTAGATAGCCTGTGAACTCAGACTCAGAAATTGAAAAAGGATCACTGGCAGGAACGGCACATCCTGAGACCTTATCTTGCCTTTGCAGCATCCTGTGTGAAGCACAACCTGCCCCCTTTTACACCACCTCCTCACACTGATGATTCAGTGTACCTGATGCCAACGGTCGTCTTCAGAATACTTGATGACACAGATGATCCTGAGTGTCCTGTTATGCCCGGAAGTCATTCAGTGGGAAGATTTGCAATAGAAGAGAGTCTTCACTGCATCATTACGTCTCATTGGGAGGAAAGGAAGACTTGTGCCACACAACTAGTGAGCTATCCCAGGAAGAACAAGATCCCCTTGAACTACCACATGGCTGAGGTGATTTTTGCAGAGCTTTTTCAACTCCCAGCACTCCCTCACATTGATGTGATATATACTACATTTCTCACTGAACTGTGCAAACATCAACCTAGCTCTCTACCCAGAGTTCTTGCACAGGCAACTGAAATATTATACATGCAGGGGATAATTCTAAGACCCCCGTGGATGCCTGAAACTGCAGATAATACTGAACCCTATATATGCTATGGGATTGTTTTTATGCTTACTTACCTATAATAAAGCTTAATTTATAAATTAGGCACAGTAAGAGACTAAAAATAACTAATAATAAAATAGAAAAATTGTAACAATACAGTCCCCCTTTATCCACAAGGAATACATTTCAAGACCTCCAGTGGATGACTGAAAGCACAGGCAGTACTGAGCCCTAGCCAAGTGAACACCTTTTCACTTAAAGGAAGTGCTTTACAGCTTTGCTTTGGCATATCCAAACTGCCAGTATCACTACTCTTGTGGTATCAGACCTTATTCAGTAAAATAAGGATTACTTGAAAACAAGCACTGTGATATCACAACAGTTGTTCTGATAACCAAGACCCCTACTAAGTGCCTGAAGGGCAGACAGCCAAGTGACATGTACAGCTTGGATACGCTAAGGGGGATTCACATCCCAGGAAGAATGGTTCAAGATTTCTTTATGCTACTCAGCATGGCATGAAATTTATTTATTGATTTATTGATTTTTTTTTTGAGACAGAGTCTCACTCTGTCACCCTGAGTAGAGTGTCATGGCATCATAGCTCACAACAACCTCAAACTCTTAGGCTTAAGGTATCCTCTTGCCTCAGCCTCCCAAGTAGCTAGGAATACAGGTGCCTGCCACAATGCCCAGCTGATTTTTCTACTTTTTTAACAAGAGATAGGGTCTCTTGCTCAGGCTCATCTCAAAGTCCTGAGCTCAAGCAATCCACCTGCCTCAGCCTCCCAGAATGCTAAGATTATAGGAGTGAGCCACCCACTGCACCCCGTCGGCATACAATTTAAAACTTATGAATTGCTTATTTCTGCAAATTTCCATTTTATATTCTCAAACTGCAGTTGACTTTAAGTAACTGAAACCACAGAAAGCAAAACCATGGATAAGAAGAGACTATATAAGGTAGAAATATTAAGGGACTATCCACACGAGGGAACTGAATTTAGCTAGCTAATCCTTATAGGAATGAAAGCTGGACTCTAGGCCTCTCTGGCAATATTTCTAAGTTAACAGGAAAAAAATTATCATGTATCTCACTGATAATGTATATAAATTTGCCAGCTTCCTAAAATACTGAGTGTAACTGAAAATAAGTGTGATTCACACCACAGTTCTTTTCTAAAAAATCTTATTTAAACAATGTTTCAAAATGTTTCACTAACATCAGCCTGTCATTCAAGCTGACATCATCCCCAGGTCCTGGACAAGGCTTAGTTTCCTTGCTTTGTCCTTGGGGATCTCAGCAGAACAATTGCTTTGAGTGTCATGATCTTCGGAGATACCAATTCAGCTCCTAATAATGATATTTAAATCAGACTCACTTTCAGTAAATGGCTGAGCCACCTCCTGCAAGAAGGAGGAAAATTCCCAGCACATATCATAAACCTCACATAAACCAAGCTATTTTAAGGACTCAGAACATAGGTGAATAATCTGCCAAATAAAGCTTTCTTCTACGTGGACAATAATGGTGCTTTGGAATTTTTTTCAAAGCTGTATTAAAAGTATGTTCTCGAGGCCAAAAATAATTGCGAATTCATCCCAGAAGATTGCGGGAAAACCAGGGATTTAGTCTGAAAATACTTTTGTGGCTTGTAAAGGATGGCATTTGGGAGAGTATTAGGTTCTGCAGCAGTTAGGGTGACGCATTAATAGCCACTTGTAAGCAGAAGCAAAATAACACTAAAGCTGATGGGAGATACAGCCTTTGTCAGTTTTCAAGAATGCCAGTCTGCCCGAATAGAATTTCATTCACCTGCCCAATTTTCACTGGGACAGATCATATCAGATATTTTATAATCATCAATTCCCAGACAACCAAGAAATTGAATATCATGAAACCCTTAAAAGTCTCCCTTGCCTATGGTCTATAATTCAACTCCATCTTTTTATCCCTCCTATTTTTCTACATGCTTTACCCCAAATCAAAGAGCATTTGATCTTAAGTATTAATCAGCAAAAATCTTTGAATGTCTACTGCATGCCAGGCACTTTTATAATAAGCTGAGATTATAATAAAATGTAAAATAGGATTCTCATGGTTTAAGAGACTAGGGGAGGAGATACAATGCAGATAATTAAGCAAATAATTATTATATAATATGAGATGTGAACTAAGAGAGGTACGTGCAAGTGCTTTAGAAGCCCAGAGGGAGAAATAACAAATATGGCTGAGCAGGGGGGATCAGAAGGCTCCAGTTGCTCTTTGAAGGTGAGGAGGCACCGTGCAGACACACTTGACATATAATAGATATTTACTACATGTCCCACACTAGGCTGACTGCTTTATGTGTGTTAAACAGGAACAATAATTATTCTCACTGTGACACAGGAAGGATGCATAACTTGCCTTTTAAGGTCACATAGAGTATGGAGTGACTCTCAGATACTAGAGCAGGCATCCTCAAACTATGGCCCGCAGGCCACATGCAGCCCACCTAGGACATTTATCCAGCCCAGCGGGTGTTTTTGCTGCCACTGCCTGTCCTACTTAGCACCCAACTCATCCTGGGGCCTGCAGTCCAGCCCTCCAGTGGTCTGAGGGACAGTGAACTGGCCCCCTATTTAAAAAGTTTGAGGACCCCTATACTAGAGTCTACTGAAGCCCTCAGTGTGAAAGCAGGTAAAAGATGGCACTAGGAGCACTGATCAGACCAAGCAGTAAATAGCAACAAAGAAGCAGCACGGGATGAAAGCTCTTGGTCAATTGAGAAGCACTGACCATCTTAGGAGTCCTGTTCTTTTGAAAAGAGGGACTAGGAACTCAATAAACATTTCAGACCTTTGGAAACAATTCCACCTGTTTGGTATTCAGCTGAGTTAATATTTCTCATTTTTAGGTTTTTTCTCAGACCTTGCAACAGCCATTCGCTGTGTGGATATGTCCACTCTTCCCATCCCTGAAGGAAATAATCTTTAAGAAGAGAAACCACATCTCGGGGATCTTCTATGTTCCCTGAACACCAAGCCCAGAGACAGAAACAAAACACCACTCCGTGCCTATCTCTGTGAAGCTCAGTACGTGACCAGTACAAAAATAATTTTTAAATGTTTCACTGAATTAATTAATCTTGGACCTTCATAAAGGTCAGAAATAATTGGGAAACAGCATTTGGTTGAAAATGATTCCAAATGGGGTGTCACAAAAATTTCTCACAGAAAAGTTCAGGGTATTGTATTCATTGGCTAGGGCTGCCATAACCAAACAGCACAATGTCAGTGTATTAAACAAAAGAAATTTAGTTTCCTGCAGTTTGGGGGTCTGGAATTCCAAGATCAAGGTGTTGACAGGTTTGGTGTCTCCTAAGGACTCTCTTGGGAGTAGACAGCTGCCTTCTGAGTGTGTGTTCACTTGACCTTTCCTCTGCTGTTGCCTTCCTCTTCTTGCAAGGTACCAGTCCTAACGGACCAGGCCCCATCCTTACAACCTCATTTAACCAGTTGAGTCTTCAACGTATGAATTCTGGGGGGGGACACAATTCAGTCCATATCAAGTGTACTTGTGAAAGAAAGTAAGGAAGAGCCATTTTAAGGATCTGATTTGATGATGTTGCCAGAAATAACCTATGTGTGTCTTTCTTGGAACACATTGTGTGCAGAAATTTTGCATAAAACACATTCCATTATCTATAGTATAATCTCTATGAAAACAATTACATAAAATGAAGAAAATTACTTGAGTCTTTTCATTTTCCTTTAACTCCTTCCTCGGGATCAATAAGCCCTCTATAATAGCTAGCATCCTTTTATTTTCATTGTTGTATAGTATTTTTCATTATATAAATAAACCAGACTAAATACAATAAAATAGCCAGTATCCATGTAACAACAGTTGATTCAGTAAAATCTCTCCCAAACAACGTTGGCACCTCGTGATGAATGACTTTTGATCCTCTATAATCTCCAGTGATCCTTCATTCATGCACATCAAATAATCATGTCCTCTAAGCAAAAGCATTGTGCTTGCCAAAATAAAAAATGTTTCAAAACACACCCTCTCACATCTTCCAATTAGGATGCCTTTTCTAAAACCCAACTCACAGAAAATCTCAAGGCAGTCAGCTGTAACTCAGAACACCGCAGGAGGAATCTACTCAAGGGAGAACACTGAAAGCATAAAGTTATCTCCCCTCAACACGCTACAGAAAATATCCCTTTAATATCCTAATGATTGTAATAAGTAAGTTAAACAGAGAAAAAACCCATATTAACACTAAAATAGGAGACAGAGCAGACATGAAAGTTTAGCAAAGTTCTGGAGTAGCGGAAACATGTGGAATCTTATCAACAGATAAAACAGAATGAGGAAGCTGCGTTGAGAGGAGCTTCATCTGTGCCTTTTAGTGAAGCCTGTTAATTGTCATGACCCCAGAACTTCACAGCCAGCATGAAGTAAGGAAGAAGTTTTCCCAGAATGAAAGTAAGTCACAAGTTCTTGGGATAAAAGCCCCACCAAATGCTAAGCAAAAGAAGCAGAATACATCCTCCTAAGTTGTGAGCCCACCAAGCAGGGCCATGCCACTGAAGTACAGGTTGTGCTCTGCGCAGTGGTACCCAGCTAGGGAAAGAGCAGAGGTTAAATCCAACCCATAGATTTACCTTTGGGTATTTCTGTACCTTTGCACTCCCCATAAATATGCTGTAACCATAATTCTAATACCAAGGAAAAGGGTCCTAAAGCTTATAGAAATAGAAGAATGCCAGGTTTTTGCAAGAATGCCATGGCTTGATGCCATGGTAGACAGAGATGCACCCTGATCCTCTTCCTAGGAAGACTTGCTGCCCAGACACACAGACTGCAGCCAGTACAGTCCTCCAGGTCTCAATGTCTATAGGGTTAGCCTCAGATACCAAAAGCCACCTCACCAAAGGTTATTCCCTTCCCAGACCAGCCTGTACCTCCCTTCTGAGGGCAAGGGA